ACATGGTTCCAAAGCCAACTTATGAAACAAGGTACATTGTTTGGTTTGTAAACTTGTGGTTTATTCTTCTAGTTTCTTTTCTGAAATATAAGCAAATACATATGTACATTCCTGTTTTCCTTCTTTTTCTTATATAAAAGGCAGCATACTAGACACACAGTTCTGCATCTGGCCTTTCTCAGGTAGCACGATATCCTGACAATAACTTCACAGTGATACAGAGACCTTCCTAGTTCCCTCTCACAGCTCCACACTACACCATTGTGCAAATATGCCATAGTTTGTCCAACCAGTCCCCTCTGGATGGATCCTTGAGAGATTTCCCATCCTCAGCTTTGCAAATAGTGCTGCAAAATGATAGCCTTGTTTATGAGTAACGTCATTCTTTTGAGAAGACTCCATTTTGAATCCTCACTCTTTGGCTTTGGCTGGTCACTTAAAGTTCCAAACCTCAGGCTCCTTGTCTGTAAAATGGAGATAACAGTAGTAACTAGTTCACAGTTCAAAATGAGCTAACATGCTTTAAAATACCCAGCACAGGGCCTGGCACATAGCAAATAGTGAACAAATGTTTGCTGTTGTTTTTTGTTTTCCACTTTGTTTTAACTGTTCATAGCCCAGCACTTGACAAGTTCACTGTCTGGAAGGAGAGAGAGAGGTAAATTTTTAGTTGCCTGATGGGGTGTTGAGTGCTATGGGAGGTGCAGGAACAAGTGCCACTGGAGCACACAGTGGAGGCTGACGAGCTCTGACTGGGGATCAGGGAGGCTGTAGGGCCTATATCTTGATTTTCCCACCCCACTGATCCCTCTCCTTATGCAAAACAGGCCCCAGTTTTCCATTTTCAACACATAAAGCCACACCAACCCTGCACCCACAGGGTGAGCACATGACCCAGGCCTGGCCTCCCACGTCTCAATGATTGGCTCAGGGATGGTCACATGACCCAGGCCTGGCCTCTCAGGGTCTCAATGATTGCCTCAGGGATGGTCACATGACCCAGGCCTGGTGTCCCAGGGTCTCAATGATTGGCTTAGGGATGGACACATGACCCAGTACAACCAATGAGATTCAGCCCTGGAGCTCACTAGGGACTATTAGAAAAGAGGCTCTCATTTTCCACCAGGATGCTAATGTCCTTGGATGTAAGCCTGGAGCTGCCAGGGGCCAACACATGGCAAGGGAGAGTGTAAAAAAATCAGAGCTAAGAGGTGGAGAAGGACAGATTCCCAACATTGTCACCTGGACTGGGGATTTCAGTTAGGTGAACTGAAAATAATCTTTGTTCTGACTAAGTAAGTTTGAATTGGATTCTCATTAGTATCAAGAATGGCCAAGACATGGGGCCGGCCCCGTGGCCTAGTGGTTAAGTGCGCGCGCTCCGCTGCTGGCGGCCAGGGTTGAGATCCCAGGTGTGCACCGATGCACTGCTTGTGTCAGGCCATGCTGTGGTGGCATCCCACATGAAGTGGAGAAGATGGGCACAGATGTTAGCTCAGGGCCAGTCTTCCTCAGCAAAAAGAGAAGGATTGGCATGGATGTTAGCTCAGGGCTGATCTTCTTAACAACAACAACAAAAAAGAGTGGCCAAGACAGACAGAGGGGTCCTGAGGCCTGAGGCTTAGTTACTAGGGCAATAAGGAAAGAAAAGACTTTCTAGCAAGTGAAAAGCATGTGAGAAGGTCCTGAGGAAATGTAGCAGTCAGCCTCTTTTGTAGCTTTGACTAAAGCAAGACCTGTGGGCTTATTGCCTGAACAAACCCAGCTTCTCAACTGGAAGGCTGAGCTCTAGACCCTGGGGAAGGGCAGAGATTTCTCACCTGGACAGTCATCAGCCAGGTGATGTCAGACTCAGATAGAAGCATGCAAATGAGTTGTTGGTGGTATCAGAGGCTCAGCCTCCCCAGGTGCAGATTGGGACCCTGTCTTCCTCACCATCAAGGTCACAGCTAACACTGCCCCTGCTCCTCACAGTCTGCAAGACATCCTCACACTCAGTGTCTCCACCACCATGTGCAGCCCTAACCAGCATCTGCATTTTACCTGGGGCCTCTACTTGCCTCCAAGGTCCTAGCTGTCACACACTGTCCCTTTGGTTTCTGAAGACTCCTATGCTCTAGAAGTCCCCCTTTTCATGTTCCCGTGTTTTTGTTCGATGCCACTTTTCCACGCTGAATCAGCTAATGAAGCTTCACTGGGTGCCTGAATTGAAACACACCATATAACAGTATATGCTGAGCAGGGCAAAAGGGCCAGGATGTGCACCTCTGGCTTGTATCTGGTGGTGGGGGTGAGATTTGGAAACTAGGATTTCCTACTTGAAGGCTTTTTTTTTACTTTTTATTTTGAAATTATTATAGATTCACAGGAAGTTACAGATAGTACAGAGAAGTCTCTAGTACTCTTCACCCAGTTTCCCCCATAGTTATATCTTACCTAACCATAGCGCAATAACAAAACCAAGAAGATGATATTGGTGCACTGTATGTGTATACTTCTGTGTTATTTTATCACAGGTGTAGATTGTGTAACCACCACTGAAATCAAGATACAGACAAGTTCCTTCACCACAAAGATCTTCCTTGTGCTACTCCTTTACAACGATAATTGTGGATTTGACTAGTTCTCCTTTCAGTTCTTTCTTCACATTTTTTGCAGCTCTATCATTTGAAGCATAGACATTTAGGACTTTTATCTCTTCTTGGTAGATAGACCCTTTTATCATTATATAATGTCCCTCTCTGCCCGTTAATTTTCTTTGCTCTGAGGTCTACTTTATCGGATATTAATATAAACCACCCCTGCTTTCTTTTGATCAATGTTTGCATGATATACATTTTTCCATCCTTTTACTTTCAACCCACCTATATTCTTGTATTTGAAGTGAGTTTTGATAGATAGCTTATGGTTGGGGCATGTTTTTTTTTTTTTTTTTAATCCACTCTGACAACCTCTGTCTTTTAATTGGTGTATTTAGGCCATTTACATTTAATGTAATTATTAATATGTTAGGGCTTAAATGTGTCATTTTAATTTAACTGTGTTCTATTTTTTTTTGGTGAGGAAGATTAGCGCTGAGTTAATATCCATTGCCAATCTTCCTCTTTTTGCTGAGGAAGATTGGCCCTGAGCCAACATCTGTGCCAGTCTTCCTCTATTTTGTATCTTGGATGTCTGCCACAGCATGGCTTGATGAGCAGTGTGTAGGTCTGTGACTGGGATCCAAACCTGCAAACCCAGGGTCGCCGCAGCACAGCACACGAACTTAACCACTACACCACCGGGCCGGTCCCCAACTGTGTTCTATTTTTTATTTCTATTTTATTTTTCCTGCCTTCCTGTGGTTTACTTGAACATTTTTTTAGAATTCCATTTTGATATATCTCTAGTGTCGTTGAGATGTCTTTGTACAGATTTTTCAGTGGTTGTTCTAGGTATTACCTTATACATACAGAAATTTTCAGCTTACTGGTGTTGTCATTTTACCAGTTTGAGTAAAGTGTAGAAACCTTACATCCCTTTAAGTCCCTTTACCCTCCCCAACTTATTATATAATTGTCTTAACTATTTTCTCTACATATATTTAGAACTATATCAGACAGTGTTATAATTTTTGCTTCAATTATAAAATTTAGAAAATTCAAGAGAAGAAGGAAAATGTGTCATATTTATCTATGTTTTTTACTTGTTCCATTGTTCTTTCTTCTTTCATGATGTTCCAAGACTCCTTCTTTTATTATTTCTTTTCTTTAGAGAATTTCCTTTAGCAATACTTTTAGGGTAGGTCTGCTGGTTGCAAATTCTCTTAGTTTTCCTTCATCTAAGAATGTCTTGATTTCCCCTTCATTTCTGAAGGGATATTTTCAGTATAGGATTCTGGGTTAACAGTGATTTTCTTTCAGCACCTAGAAACTTCCTATTATGCCACTTCCCATTGACCTCCATGGTTTCTGATGAGAAATCCACTGTCATTTGAATTGTTTTCTTTCTATAGATAAGATGTTGTTTCTCCCTGGTTTCTTTCAAGATTGTTTCTTTGTCACGAGATTTCAGAAATTTAACTTGTGTCTTGGTGTGGATTTCCTTGGCTTTATCATGTTTAACTTCTTGGGTTAAACTTTGGGGTTTTCTCAGCTTTTTGAAACTGAAGATTTATGTCTTTTGCCAAATTTGGAAAATTTTTAGCCATTATTTCTTCAAGTACTTTTTCAACCTGTCCTCTCTTTCCTCTCCTTCTGGAATTCCAATAACACATATGTTAGATCTTTTGTGATAGTCCCACAGGTCCCTGTGGTTCTGTTCATTTTTTTTTGGGGGGGGGTCTATTTTCTCTGTTGTTCAGACTGTGTAATTTCTATTATTCTGTCTTCTAGCTCACTGATGCTTTCTTCTGTCATTCCTATCCTGCTATTGATACCATCTACTGAATTTTTAATTTTGGTTTTTGTATTCTTCAGTTCTAAAATCCTCATTTTGTTTTTCTTTATCTCTTCTATTTCTTTGTTGAGACTATTTTTTCATTTGTTTCAAACATGTTCATAATTGCTCATTCAAGTATGTTTATAATGGCTGCTTTAATATTCATTCCAGATAATTCTAGCATCTCTGCCATCTTGGTGTTGGTGGGCACTGACTGGCTTTTTTCATTCAGGTTGTAATTTTCCTCATTCTTCTTATGACAAGTGGTTGTGAATTGAAACCAAATTGAAATTTTGAGTATTATATTATAAGACACTAGATATTATTTAAAACTTCTGTTTTAGCTGGCTCCCCTGATACCATTCTGGCTGGAGAAGGGAGGTACTACCTCATTACTGCCAGGTGGGGATAGATGTTTAGGTTCCCCACTTGACCTCTGTTGATACCTGAAGGGAGAGGGTCCCCTTGGTGCTTCCAGGTGGGAGTGGGAGTTCCTTCTCCTCATTAGGCCTCCATTGATCCCATCTGGGCTGGGAGGGGCTGCTCCTCAGGTGGCCTCCACTGACACCATGGAGAGGGTGGCATTTGGTTGGAGTTGAGCAGTTATTATCTAAACATTTCTATCTTGCTAGGCTGCCCCTTTCCTGGTCATCTGGCTAGAGGGAGCAGGCTTTTGTTGAGAACTCACCACTGTGTCATTCCGTGAGTCCAGACATCTCTAGCTGGCCTGCCTTCTTCTCTGTACCAGAATAGTCACCTTATGTTTGTTTTACATATAATGTCCATGACTTTTAGTTGTCCTTAGCAGGAGTAATAGGGAAAAGTACTTCTCCTCCATCTTTCCATAAGTGGAAGTTACTTGGAGTCTTTTAAAATATGTTTCAGATGCCAAAGTGGAGCAAAAGTAAAACAAAGTCAGAGTGCCTGAGGCAAACACTTTAGCATCTTAGATAGCACTGAAGGTAGTGGGGGTGACGTGGTGAGAGGGCACAGGTGTGGGGCTGGAATGACCTCAAAGGGAACACTAATTCAAACTTGGGCAAGCTGCTTTGGCTGTCAGAGGCTCAATTTTCCTTCTGGAAAATAAAAACCAAACTACTTATTATGTAGGGGTGTCATGACGAGTAAGTGAGATTAAGTTCGTCAAGTGCCTAGCACTGACAACGCATGCCATACATAATTTCTTTACTTTTCTCAAACAGTTCCAACCTTATATCCTAACATTTCCTAAATAAATCCTGAATTGTAGCTCAAACTGTTTATAATCCTGCTGCACCTTCTGCCAAGCTCCGTGACATTGGACGAGCCCCTTTCCCTCACTGGGACTAGATCCCCACTACTCAATGGATGTGCTGCAGCAGTCCCTGGGAGCTTGTTAGAAATGCAGAATCCCAGGCACCACACCTGACCTACTGAATCAGCACCTGCATTTTATCAAGACCCCCAGTTGAGTTTTGCACATCCAAGTTTGAGAAGCGGTACTCTGGGTGACCTCCACGGCCACTTTCAGCTGACCTGACCTATCAGGGGCTTTCCCACCTCCGCACCACTGCCGAAATGTTCTTACCTTTTTACTCTGGCCACACAGTGCTAACCACCTCGAAGGCACAGCACAATCCCACCCACCCCACCCCACCCCAAGCATAAAGCTTTCTCTGACCACACGAACCCGAAGTGATCCTCTAAACTGCTTAAATGACCATTCGTTAGATGGTTAATCATGTGTTCAGTGACAGCTTGCCTGTTTTGTCTTGAGTCACTATTTCAACCATATATCATGTATTCTTATTAAACTTTCTACATCTTCTCCGAAACTAAGGATGTACACAGCTCCTGTAAAGCTCCTGGGAGCAGAGACCATGACTTCCACATGCCTTGGTCCTCACCATCCAGCTCCCACATGTAGGAGACACTCAAATATGTAATCATTTATGCTGAGAAAGTGTTCTAAGCACAGCTTTCAAGTCCCTACAATTAATAATGAGAAAATGCTATGAAATCAATATTTTAAAGGAACATAAGTAAACCTATGTTTTCTGTTCCCTGAGATATTAAAAAGGAAAGATTTTTTTTCTTTTTAATGACAATACCCAATGCTGGAGAAATTGTGCTGAAACACAGCTTTTTACAAAACTCATTGGCAATACATAGCATGGACCAAACAGATGTTTCCAGAAAACCCACTCCTGGGACTTTATCTTCATTAAGCAAATATGAGAGTTTATTTGTATGAAGAGTCATAAATAATAGCAAAAACTTGGACATAATCTAAATGTCGAACAATGAACTGGGGTACATCCACTTGACGGACTCCCATGGAACCACTTAAAATAATTAGGAAGGCTGTCTTCAAACAGAAAAATGTTTATTCAATATTAGGTAAGAAAATCAGAATATAAAATAACATATGCTACTGATTATAACTAATATATGTAAACAAGAACTAAAAAGGAAGGACCCAAAAACCAGAAATTATATTTTAAGATGGTGGGCTTGGGCTTAGTTTTCTGTACTCATTTTTTTTCCCCCAAATTTTTCATTTTGCCAACTTTTCATTAAATTAAAAAAAAAAACAGCGTTCTAAAATGACACCAAAAGTAAATTTGGAGTTCACTGTGGGACGATTCACTTAGGATTCACTTAGGAACAGCTCAAGTCCTTTTTTCTTTGTAGGTTCACCCATATGCTGTCATGTGGGATCTGACAGTTATGTGACATTTGACTGAATAACCAAGGCCTCAGCAGCTACAGAGCAAAGGAGGTCTCAAGGCTGGACATCACCATCTTGAAAGAGAAGACCTTAATTCCTAATCTATAGCTGCGAGTTGTCATTCATTCTTCTCCCAAATCCCACTAATCCCCATTTGCAGACTGCCAGTGGGATGTGTGCTCATTAAAGAATGAAAAGCTTTAAAAATGTCTTTAGACCCCATACCAACACTTTCCTTCGCACTTTTCTCATAGGCAGCCCAGTTCACTTCCCTCCTGGGGTGGTAGGAGCACTGAGTAGGGCCCAGTCATCCTCACTGGTGACCTGTGGGTCCCCTGATCTGCAGTGACACCAATCTTACATAACCCTCGACCAGCTCCTGAGCCTGATCCATCTGTAAAATGGGAATATTGATGCTTCCTCACAGGGAGAAATTAAATGAGGTGATAATTTGAACACTCCTGAAACATGGCAATGATTAGTATATGTTGTCATCTCAGATATCAATTATATCCTATCAATTTTCAAAATTAACAATTGAAAAGTATGTTAAATTGATACCACTCCTTGCTAGATGAGGATGGACACTTGCATATCCCCAGTGGGAGTCCATAATGATATGACTGTTGGAGAGGGCAATTTGGAAGTACTGCCGTGTAACCAAAGCTTTAAAAACTTGCATATCATTTGACCCAGCAACTCTACTTCTGAGAATCTGTCAAAAGGAAATTAGATAGATGAGCACGTATGTGTGTACACAAGGGCTGTTCACTGCAGTATTACTTAACAAGCAGAAAACTGGAAACCGCCTAAGTGTCCAACAGTAGAAGACTGGTTAAATGAATCTGGCACACACTTGCAGTGGGATCTTACTCAGCACGAATGAAGTTGTAGATGTACAGTTAATCTCATAAAGATGTGCTCGTGCAATACTGAGCTATTTAAAGTAATAATATTTACTATGTGATTCTGTGTTGTGAGGAAAGAATCTATCTCTATATCTAGATAGAGATATACATGTACATTATATGGGATATCCAGTCTGAGAAAGAATATCATTTATGGACTTTTCTTAACCCGGTATTTCCTGAGTGTCCACACCATGGCAGGTGCAGATGGTGAATTAACACAGCTCCTGTCTAGCGAGGGAGAGAGATCTATGTACAGAGAGCACCAGGGAGAAGGGATCAACAGAAAGGCCCCCAGGACTTGCTGCTATGGCCCGAGATGTCAGCAGTGCTGCCCAGACTCTAAAGTGACCTGCAGGGTGGGGCGGGTATCCCCCTCACCCTGTGTCTTGGCTCAGAGAGGACCTGCAGCCTTGCTGCTGGAGGGGAGCAGAGGGGCTGCTCAAGGCTCTGCTGCAGCTGCAAGCCCCCGAGCAAGCAAGCACAGGAGGACGCCTCCCCCACCGCTTCACCACAGCCCCGGCAGGCTGAGAGACTCCCTCGGGGACTCACTGAGCACCTGTGACCAAATCTGATGGGACTAACATCGACTCTGTGCCTGCTCTGTTGTTGTCTGATCAAATGCATTTTCTTACCCACTCCTCCCATCTTCCAGATGATGGAAGTTTCCAGGGTCATAGAGCCGGTAGGGAGACAGAGCTGGGGTTTGAACTGGGAAGTCAGCGCTCACCGCACCCCACCACACTGACCTTTACTCATGCCCCGTGTAAGGGGGATAGAGAAAGAGCAGATGTGTTCCAGGAGCTCAAGCTGGAGAGGACGAGCACGCCCAAGAGGGGCAGATGGCGAGAAAGGAGACAGGATGTCGCTGAGCAGTAGACTCCCTCATTTCAGGGGGTCAGATGGCCATAAGCTGGACCCTAGGGGATGACAGCACACAACAGGGCCCAGGGGAGAATGCCGGCAGTGTGGTCCTGACCGTAAGGACAGCAGTGTGTGTGGAGGACTTACTGTGATGCCAGGCACTGCACCAAACTCTGCACCTGTATTAGCTCCCTTAAACCTCACTGCACCTTTGAGGTGTGTGCTCTCACACATTCGACTCACCAGTGAGGAAACGGGAGCAAGGCCACCAGCTGGACAGTGACAGAGCCAGGACTCCAACCTAGACAATCTTTCTTTTTCTTCAGTGGCTGAAAACAACACAAACTAATTACCCTGAGTTCTGCAGGTCGGAAGTCCAGCACAGGGCTCCTCAGACTAAAATCAAGGTGTGGGCAGGCCTGCTCCTTTCTGGAGGCTGGAGGGGAGAATCTGTTTCCTGTTCATTCAGGTTGCTGGCAGAATTCAGTTCCTGTGGTTGTGGGACTGTGGTACCTATTTCCCTGCTGGCTATAAAATGAGGGTTGATCCTAGCTTCTAGAAGCTGCCGCGTCCTTGGCTCCTAGCCCCTCCTCCACCTTCAAAGTCAGGATCGGCCAGTGCAGCCCTCTCACCACCCTTCCCCTGGCGTTTCTCTCAGACTTACCTTTTTCAATTGTCTTCCACTCTTTTGTTAAAATTACGTTTAATAAAAATAATTTTGTGATTGGCATATTTCATTTAACATAAATCCTCAAGGTTCATCCATGTTGTAGCATCATCAGAATTTCCTTCCTTTTTAAGGCTGAATAATATTCCACTGTGTGGATGTACCACATTTCTTTATGCATTCATGTATCAATTAGATACTTCAGTTGCTTCCACCTTTAGGCTATTGTGAATAATGCTGCTAAGAACATGGGTGTGTAAATATTTCTTCCAGACTCTGCTTCTTGTGTGTGTGTGTGTGTGAGGAAGATCAGCCCTGAGCTAACATCCATGCCAATCCTCCTCTTTTTGCTGAGGAAGATCGGCCCTGAGCTAACATCTATTGCCAATCTTCCTCCCCTTCTTCCCTTTTTCTCCCCAAAGCCCCAGCAGACAACTGCATGTTGTAGTTGCACATCCTGCCAACTGCTGTACGTGGGACGCTGCCTCAGCATGGCCAGACAA